TTAGTGATGTCTGCCCCTCTGTATCGCGGCCTTGACGTCGAGAAGTTCGACGGCAAGGGAGACTTCTCCTTATGGAAGGAGAAGATGTCCATTAGCTTAGAGATCTTAGGGTTAGGGGACACACTAGAGGATGATCCATCTACATGGGGGGTTGCTGATGAGGGGAGCCCACAAACTCCAGCTCGGGAAACCGAGGATTCGGGAGGTCTTACGTCTCTTTCCACCGGGTCACTAGGACCCGGGGCTAAGGGATCGGGCACTCCGGCTCTCAAAGAGAGACAAGAAAGGAGTAGAAGGGCTAGGAACCTCATTGTGCTTGCTCTAGCGGATCAGGTTCTAAGGAAGGTCATATCCGAAAGGACGGCCTTCGGAATCTGGAGGAAACTGGAGCGGCTGCACATAGAGCAATCTCTCCCCAATAGGATGTACCTCATGCAGAGGGTGTCAGGTCCTAGAGCTGTCCATCCTAAACCCTGACACCCTCTGCATGAGGTACATCCTATTGGGGAGAGATTGCTCTATGTGCAACCGCTCTAGTTTCCTCCAGATTCCGAAGGCCGTCCTTTCGGATATGACCTTCCTTAGAACCTGATCCGCTAGAGCAAGCACAATGAGGTTCCTAGCCCTTCTACTCCTTTCTTGTCTCTCTTTGAGAGCCGGAGTGCCCGATCCCTTAGCCCCGGGCCCTAATGACCCGGTTGAAAGAGACGTAAGGCCTCCCGAATCCTCGGTTTCCCGAGCTGGAGTTTGTGGGCTCCCCTCATCAGCAACCCCCCACGTAGATGGATCATCCTCTAGTGTGTCCCCTAACCCTAAGATTTCTAAGCTAATGGACATCTTCTCCTTCCATAAGGAGAAGTCTCCCTTGCCGTCGAACTTCTCGACGTCAAGGCCGCGATACAGAGGGGCAGACATCACTATATAAGAAGGAGTGTAGGTCCCGGAGGGCGAAGGAGGAGACCGAGGGTAAGGGGGTAGTAGCCTCGGTTCAGGAGTATGATTCGGAGGTACTTCTAGTATGCTCCGACTACTCCTCGGGTGGAGGTTCGGAGGTGAGGTCTCCACGTCTAGGTGGAGTTACCTCGGGTAGGAAGCTCAGGGGAAGAGGCGAGCGAGGGAATGCCGGGTCACCGGGTAGAGTCGGTGAGGGTAGTAGCGCTAGGGGCGTTTCCTCTCGAGGTGGAGCACGTGCTTGCACGTGTTCCGAGCCTTCGGTAGAGTTTCTATAGGTCGACTAGGGGGTCTTCACGGGGTAAAACCCGTGGAGAACCTTAGTCGGTAGGTAGGGGTCCGGGGTAGAGGTCATAGGTCGCTTGATCTTTACGGGGATCAAGAGTTAGGTGTGTTAGTATGACTCAAGGTTAGTCTCGGGGCAGTCGGGGTAGACTCGGGGGACGGGTAGATGTCGGGGCGTGACCCTCGAGGGGCCATTGGTGAGGTATAGACTTCACCGGAGGGGGTCACTTAGACGGTCTAGGGAGTCATACTAGTCTAGGTCTTAGGTAGCCTTCGGAAGCGGAGATGTCGGGGGACACTCGCTTGGGTAGGTTAGGTGCGTCGTGTCACGCTGAGACGTGTTTATGACACGCTCGGTAAGGACTCCTTTAGAAGGGTAGGTTCAATACGCCTTGAACCATGCTTAGAGGGGGAGTTACATGGAAGTTACGGGAATGAGCCTGCTAGGGTTGGCGTGGTTTGTTTTCCTTCGTGTTTTCTTTTCTTTGCAGGTTTTGCAGAAGAAGGTGGAGATTTGTTGAGTCTTCAGCAAATACTCTGAGCGAAGAAGAAGGTTTCAAAGCTTCGGGTTCGGTCAGAGGGTTCCAAAACGCGGAGGGGCAATTCGGTCATTTGGTTCTTTAGGGTAAATGAAACCCTAATGTTTGTTTGAGTCTCAGACTTCTGCGTTTTTCGGTTTTTTGGTGGTTTCTCTCTCTAGGTCGGCGAACTTGTGTTCTCCGGTGTTCGGGGTCGATTTTCCGGTCGATCTCCGGCAGCTCTCTTTGTGTAACCCTAGCAAACGCTGTTCCTCTTCCCGAGACGTAGGTATCGAGTGTTAGAGCTCGATACTGAACTCGTTATTCCGCTGTCTCGTTTTTCTTTCTGTTCTTGAGAGAATCGGAGAGATCGGTGAGGGATCGAGGTCGAAATACTCTACAGTATGAATATATACATATATATACACACACAAATATACCGCATATAGGACGTAAATAATCACATCACACGCACATATATAGCAATCACGTTGACTTGGAGGAGGAGAGAGTATGCATGCATGTCAATCACGTTGACTTTCACAAGCATGACCCCGAGACAAGATTTATTAATATTATTCCACGAATTATGCAGAGATGTGTCAAAATCCGAGTCTCTTAATCATATGAACCACTCCCCTCATCTGAAAGTCCGTTTTAGAAAGCAAAGACACACTTGTTTCTGGTTTCTTCAACTTCAGAACAACACGAGAGAGAGAGAGAGAGAGAGAGAGAGAGAGAGAGAGAGATGGGAAGAGCTCCGTGTTGTGACAGGACAAAAGTGAAGAGAGAGGTCCATGGTCTCCTGAGGAAGATGCAAAGCTTAGGGATTACATTGAGAGATGCGGAAATGGTGGTAACTGGATCACTCTCCCTCAAAAAGCCGGTAAATCTCCAAAATCTTCAGTCGCTGTCGTCCTTCGGATTACACGTATATGTACGAATTAACATACATACCGATATATATGTATATATATATATACTCATGATGATCATGCATGTTCTTGTTGTCTCTGTTTAGGTCTGAGGAGATGTGGGAAGAGTTGTAGACTTGAGACCGAACATAAAACATGGAGGTTTCACGGAGGATGAAGATCGGATCATTTGCAGCCTCTTTGCCGCCATTGGAAGCAGGTCCTCTACTTTTATTCTTAGTATTTTCTTTTAGTTGTTTTCTTACATTTTTTCCTAAATAAATAAATAAATATTTGACTTGATACTCGAAATAAATGGTTAAACAATGGCCTTCCTGATCGTTTTCCCTAAATTTATATTGTCAAACACTGTTTCTTGTTTTTTTGAATCTGAATATATATATATATATTCTATAGAATCTTGAAACTTCCCCAATGCATTAATTCTAGCTACTAATGTTTCGATCGAGTTATTACATTCCAGGAAACACAAGGTTGACAAAATGGTAGTCAAAACCTGGCGCAGACACATTTTCTTCACATTGTTCAATAATAGAGCGTCCGCATTTTTCCAACATTAATTGCCAATACATATATATATATATATATATATATATATATATATATGTACACATACCTAAAACACGTGTATATACATGAACGTATAGGTGGTCAATAATAGCAGCTCATCTGCCGGGAACTACAGACAACGACATCAAGAACCATTGGAACACCACGTTCAGGAAGAAACTCATGGCTTCTTCTTCGTCGATGGCTTCATCTCATCAAAACCCTAATCCTCGTCATAACGTGAAAAAGCCATCAACATATTCATGTTTCTTGCATATATCAGCTCAAACAAATCCCCACTAGTAGAATATATTTTTTTTTTATAGGACCACCTCTATACAGATATTATTTATTACCTACGTATTAGATAACATTAAGACAATATATATATATATATATATATATATATATATATATATATATGTACACATACCTAAAACACGTGTATATACATGAACGTATAGGTGGTCAATAATAGCAGCTCATCTGCCGGGAACTACAGACAACGACATCAAGAACCATTGGAACACCAAGTTCAGGAAGAAACTCATGGCTTCTTCTTCGTCGATGGCTTCATCTCATCAAAACCCTAATCCTCGTCATAACGTGAAAAAGCCATCAACATATTCATGTTTCTTGCATATATCAGCTCAAACAAATCCCCACTAGTAGAATATATTTTTTTTTTATAGGACCACCTCTATACAGATATTATTTATTACCTACGTATTAGAAGTTCATAATATTTGTATGTATGTACGTATAAATTTACACGCACGTTTATATGTTGCCTATATAAACATATATATATATATATATATATATAATCTGATTGCTCAATAATTTTATATATTTTCCAAAAGAAAAAAAATGGGATTGTGTATAAAAGTCATCACTCATTCACACCTTTGGTTTTATCATATTTTTTTGTCTGCGCATTTATTTTATTCTGTAAAGTTTAAAAGTATATATAATAAAGTGTCTAAATGTTTTGAAAATAGGAAATTGGAAATTAAAATTATGACAAATATTTTGTTGTACTCGAGAAAAGGGATATTCACGTTGCATACACTAACAAAAAAAAAATAGAACAGAAAAAAAATAGAAGAAATATGTGCAGAATGATCAGTGGTCCCTAATAAAACAAACATGGGTTCTATTATTGGGCCCAAACAAGCCCATTAGTGATATTGCAATAGTTTAGCCCACTTTTCGAAACTGCAGTGGCCAATTCAGTTTTCTGTTCGGATTCGGTTCGGTTATATTTAGATTTGGTTACTATTCAGTTTTTATATAAATTTTGGTTCTATCCGTATATTTTTTTTTTGTTAAATTCTTGTTCATATTTTTATTTAGAAACTGCAAAAAAAGTATATTAACTCGTTCTAATACATTAACTTTTTTTTATTAGCATCTGAACTTATGATATGTACGGCTGAAAATTTATCTCATATGGTGGACAAAGGAGATATTAGATTGTGTGTCGGAACAATATAGTGATAAATAAAAAATAAAAATAAAAAATGTAAATAATATCAATCCGTAATGATTTTCAATTAATTTGAAAGAAACAAAAATATTAAAGCCGTGTTTAATTTTGTGAATATGGATGTCTTTTATTTTGGTCCCGTAGAGTTAATTTTCGATCTGTATCCGTTAAGCATCATCATCATGTATGAGTATGCCATTGATGGCATAACATCATCATCATCATCGTCATGTAGCATCTTCACTGACTCCACGTTTTCTCCTATTATAAATACGAAACATCGCTTCGTCTTTCTCCCTCGGACTCTGTCTAAGCCCACTCGCCCCACTACCTTAGAAATAGGAATAGTCCAGAAACCGATTCATCTTCTTCCGCGTCACCGAGTCACCATGGGTGAGGTCAGTCAGCGGGTCAACCCGCCCCCAACTCATCACCCATTTCCCCAGAATTTCCATGTTTTTTGTTTTTTTTCCCCTCTGGAAGATGAGATTGAGATTGATAATGGGTTTCTCTTTTCTCTGCTTGGTTTGGTCTCTGTGCAGAAGAACAACGATGGAGAGAACAAGAAGAAGGCAAACGATGGGGAGAAGAAGAAGAAGAGCAACGACGAATCCGTCACCGTGGTTTTGAAGGTTGATATGCACTGCGAAGGCTGCGCTTCCAGGACAGTCAAATGCGTTCGTGGTTTCGAAGGTGAAATCGATTATATACTAACGGGGAAAAAACCCTTTTCTCGTCATCGATTTCTTCTGTCGGGGAATTGTTCTTCAGATTTGCTTAGACATTCATGAGCTCTTCCTGGGAAGAAGACACGGTCTATGAACTTCTTCGATGGAAACCCAGATTGAACATTTCTGGGTTTTTTCGTTTGAAGTTCCACATGTGTTGGATTTCGGATCTCCTATGTTGTTTTTGCTTAAATTGAAGAACATCCCTTTCTATTTTTTGTTTTTGTGAGATAATTTCAGGGGAAAACGAGAGAGAAATCGAACGTTGGTGTCCTGATTTCTCGGATTACATTACCAGATTTCTGAAATATTCCTAGTTTGTTTCTTGAATATTCTGGGTTTTTATTTGCTGTGTTAAAAGTTTAATCTTTATGAAACAATTATCAGGCGTGGAGACTGTGAAGTCGGAGGCGGCGGCCGGAAAACTGACGGTGACCGGAAATGTGGATCCGGCGAAACTCCGAGAGAAGCTTGAGGAGAAGACCAAGAAGAAAGTTCAACTGGTCTCTCCCCAGCCCAAAAAGGACAAAGAAAATGCCAAAGACAACAACACTACCAACAAAAACGGAGACGACGACAAAAACAAAGCCAAGAAGTCCGACGACAAAAAATCCGACAACGACAAGAAGCCCAAAGAGAAGGAGGTATATATATGTATATATTGTTATATATATGACAGTGTGCATGATAGTAACTGTGCATCTGTTTGGATTACATGGCGAAGATTCTGGCCTTTGATAATTTCTGGGTTTTGCTGGGTTTGCAGCCATTTTTGTTAGAATTTTTTTGTATTTTAGCGAAAGCTGACAAATTTAATCTAAATTTTATTTCATTTTGTGTTTCGTTTATTGAGCTGTCTTCTTTCATGTTTTGGTTTATTTTAATCTTAAGCCTCCGGTGACGACGGCGGTTTTGAAGCTGAACTTCCATTGCCAAGGCTGCATCGGGAAAATCCAGAGGACCGTCACCAAAACCAAGGGTAAGATATTTTGCGTTTTCGCTGATTTTTGCGTTTCCCAAAACGGCGTTTCCGTGTCCTTTACAGCGTTTGAAAGCGCAGGCGTGGACGCGATTTCAATGGACAAGGACAAACAGCTGGTGACGGTCAAGGGAACCATGGACGTCAAGAAGCTGGCGGAGACCTTGTCGGAGAAGCTCCGACGGCCGGTGGAGGTCGTACCGCCGGCGAAGAAGGATAACGGCAAGGATAAAGACGGCGGCAAGGAGAAGAAAGAAGGCGGCGGCGGCGGCGGAGACGACGGAGGCAAAAAGGAGGAAGGAGCGAACAAGATGGAGTACGTTGCTGCTCAACCCGGATCCGGATTCGGGTACGGATACGGATACGGGTCGTATTACCAGTACCCTGTTCAAGCTCACGCGCCACAGATTTTCAGCGACGAGAACCCGAACGCTTGCGCCGTCATGTGATTGCGGCGGCTGGCGGTGGAGGGAGTGGTAGAGAAATGTAAATAAGTGATAAATGCAGGGGTAATTTCGGTAAAATGGGTTCAGTTAGAAGAATCAACTGGCTGTTACGTAGTGCCACGGACATGTATTTCTGAGTGTTAATTTTTTTTTTAAAAGTTGATTTTGTTTCGAATATTTAATGGAATTAAAAAGGCATTAAAGTCTTAATTCCCTCTTTTTCGGTGTGAGCTTATTTGCAAATAAATTTTATTTATTAGTTCTCATAAATGTATATAAATACTATTTTGTCTGTATTTATTTATAAGGAGAAAATAGAAATATAGGAACAATGTCGATACCTCGTTAGAGAATGGAGAATATTATATTTGAATTAATAGGCCAAATTTGATGAGGCATATGTAAGCAAGGCAAATGAGATTTGGTGACAAGAGTTAGGTGAACCCATCCATGAATATCTCTACCATCTTTAACATAAACTAAGGAACCATTGCTTGAATATATTTTTATATATTTTTTGTACATAATTTTTTGGCGTCTTAAATAAATGGAGTTAATCACTTCTAACGTCTTGACAGCTACAATAAAAAAATGTACCGAAATAAAATAATTAGGTTTCGATTGCATTTCCTGTTCAAACCCTTCGTTGTACATTAATACTAATACACATAAATTGTAAACGTATGTGAATGTATATTGATAGAAATGCATAATTTCGTTTTTGCGAAAGAAAATTCACATTCTTTAAAAAAAATATATTCAAAATATTAGAGAATCTTATTGCAAGTTTTTTTTTTAAAAAAAAAAACAAAATTGTCTCTATTAAGCATTTGACAATTCAATGCGTCTCCTCCTTGTGGGCGGCTCCTGTTCTGTGTTTACTTCACCAACATTATTAAAAAAACGAATAATATGCAATTAATCGATTTTATCTTTATTGTTTTAAATTGTCGGACCAACTCGTTCTATATAATATTACACACACACACACACGTATTATGGTATCGACGTTATGAATATTTTGCATTATTATAATAGTTTATGATCTGTGGTTTATATATTAATCCAATAAATTCATAAATTGGCCAATTTGACGTTATGAATATTGCATTATTATACGTATTATCTTTATTGTTTTTAATGGTCTCTTTTATATGATATAACCGTGGCATATATATATAATATGCCACGGAAAATATTTAAATTTCTTTATAATTATCTGCTTGTTTTCATTGGGGTTTTTCCTCTGCCTTTCAATAGTAACGTAAAGACCAAACAGTCGGACTCATGTTTTGACTGCGCATGTGCCCTTGGATGTGACATCTCATTCATTCATCATTAAAATTAATGATATTTACGTAGAACGTGTGGGGGCATCATGCGTTTTAGGCAACATGCATCGTCATCATGGCCTCACGTTTTTATGCAATGCATGTATCCGTGCATCATTTATCATCATCATCATCATCATCATGAACTTTCGAGGAAATTTGATGAAATTCCAATCTATTGTTTGCATATTCATTATACAAAATATATATTATTTTTTCCCGTGGAATAAATTCAATATTAACACTTCGAAGTACGTACACAATAACATGGCTTTCCTCATAAGGGTAAGGCCAAAATGTAATATGGTCTGCATGATAATAATAATAATAAGTTTGTTACGTGGAATCTTTAGGTTATATGCCAATGAATGAATCAAACAAAATATTTCTTTTTTTTTTACTAATGAACTCACAAGTGCACAAATGATTCGTTTCGATCCCTTCGATTATTCATAAGCTTGATTATTACAATTGGTTCTCTGCCCCATGTGGGCTTCGAGTGGGACATATCTACATTTTTTTTTAAAAACAAAGTGGACCAAAAAGACCATAAAAGAACCAAAAAACGAAAAAAAGAAAAAGAGAAAAAGATGAAATTAAACAAAAGTAAAATAAAGGCAGAAAAAATTACATTGGAACAATTTGTGAATCCATGTATCCATAATTTTACAAACCGCGAATTAAAATTTTTAAATTAGATTGAATGAGTATATCACTTACATTTCTACAATATCAATCGCAAAATATAGATAGTATATCGAGTTTTATGAGTCTGAAATTATATACATACATATATATATATATATACATGTACATGTTAAAATTAATTCATATGAGTACCAAAACAATTATAAATAGATTCTTTAGGACAGTTTTTAATATCTTTAAAAAATCAAACTAAATAAAAAAAGTATTTATATATATATATATAAATCATCTGTATTTTCAACACACAACTATATATATATAGATGATTTTTTTTTTGGTTTTTAGAAAAAAAAAATAGAATGATTTGTAAACATGGGAATTTTCATATTGGGCTCACTATTCACATGACCACCTTCTTCTACAAGGAGTTATAATGAGGGCCACAAAGGAAGGAGCAGAGCAGTAGCCTTTTAGGGTCAATGCTTTTGCCTTTATCCTCTTTCCTCTCCTCCTCCTTCTTCTTATAATTGCTCTGCTTTTTGGTACTTTTTGTGAAATTTCAATTTTGATTTGATTTCTTCACTAAAATCCAAAGTCTTCATCAAGGCCCCATTTGCATTGAATGATGGATGATGAAATTCAAAAGGATGATGAACTTTCTTCATTCCAATTTTTAAAATTTCCAATCCGATATGGGGTGGGTCACATTTATTTATGAGATTCAACCCAATTGACTATTCTATTCACCAACCCTTCATTTATAATTTTTATGGCAGATTATCTAGATTATTCTTTTTGTTTTATTCACAATAAAAGTGAAATAAAATTCAATGTGTTAGATAGATCATATAGATAAAATGTCTCTTTTAAAAGAGCCGTCAGTGACTCAACAAAATAGAAGATTGCATGAAATGAGAGAAATTATAAAAACACATAATTATAACTAAGCTAAAATTAAATTAAAATTTGAATTTGCATCATTTTTAAAAATTGATAATTGAAAAGCCGATTTTTTTTTAAATGAGCATTTTATAATTATAATAAAACCGAATTAAATAAAAATTGAATAAATGTATATTTTTTTTAAATTGAAAAAACAACAGCAAGTGCATTGACGTTTTAGACACATGCCTCTAGATCCATTGCGCCCAATTCTGGGCCCATATCAGGATTATAAACGTATTAAAATCCAAATATAGTTGGGCCTTATACTGAATGGAAGCCCAATCATGGGCCCATATAAACAATATTAAAACGCCGTCGTTTCGATTGACCGACATTGTAAAAGTCGCAGTTGTATTGTATTCCGATACGCAACTTGAAAGTTAACTCAGTTCCGTACACGTGGAACACCGTGACGGTATCTTCTCCTATAAATACCTCTCTCTCCCGACAGCATTCCTCCAGACATCAGAATCCAACATTTCGAACCCTAAATCCGTACACTGACACGGACCCGGAAACCCTAGATCTCCAGTCTCCCATATCTAGCAGGTAACGTCTGATTCTTCTTATGATTTCCGCATCTGTTTTGTGTTGTTTTTCTCGATTTCTCGGTTTCGATTTTGTTTTGTGGTTTTCGCGAGCCATTATCTGATGATCGATTTCATTTCCGTCGCGGCGGTGGATGCTGTTAGGGAGGAATAAGATGGTGTCGGACGCTAGCAAGAAGAAGGGCGGCGGCGTCTAAAGCGGCGGCGACTGCTGCCTCTGCGTCGAATGGAGTTGATAACATTTCGAACAGCGTCGAGGCGCTTCAGATCTCTGATCGGACGTGCACCGGCGTTCTGTGTTCTCATCCACAATCTAGGGATATTCGGGTAAATTTTTTGGGGGTTTCTGTGTTCTAAATGTTGTGTTCATTGATTGTTTGCTAGATCTGTTTGATCAATCTTGATGTCCTTGTATCGGTTGATTATTATTGTGTAGTTCAACGTCTCTGCTATAGAGAATGGTAGATGTCTTCTGTCGGGACTTTTGGAGTCATTTAGTGCTGCCATATTAGTTTGTGATTGTTTGGGTGCTTGTATCTTGTAGAATGGGATCTTGACTTCCTAAATCTTCTTTACAGATTGAATCTCTGTCTGTCACGTTTCATGGTCACGATCTCATCGTGGATTCCATTTTGGAGCTTAACTATGGAAGACGTTATGGTTTGCTTGGGCTGAATGGTTGCGGGAAGTCCACACTTTTATCCGCAATAGGTTGCAGAGAGCTTCCAATTCCTGAACATATGGATATCTATCATCTCTCCAGGGAGATTGAAGCTACTGACATGTCCTCGCTTGAGGCCGTCATAAGCTGTGATGAGGAGAGATTGAAGTTGGAGAAGGAAGCAGAAGTTTTGGTTGAGCAGGTTTGTACAAAAAAAGAAACATAAGACTTCATGCTAATGTTTATACTCCCCTTTCCAGCTAGATGCTAACTACAATTATGTATAATTGCTTCCTATCTTTCAGGAGGATGGGGGTGGAGAGCTTCTTGATCGTATCTATGAGCGTCTAGAAGCTATGGATGCCTCAACTGCTGAGAAGCGTGCTGCCGAAATCCTATATGGTCTTGGTTTCAACAAGCAAATGCAGGCAAAGAAAACAAAAGATTTTTCTGGTGGCTGGAGAATGAGAATTGCATTAGCGAGAGCGCTTTTCATGAACCCGACAATTCTTTTGCTCGATGAGCCGACTAATCACTTGGGTAAGGTTTCCTGGCTGCGGTTGTGATTTTACTGCTGATGGTTTCCTATTGCAAGTTTTGTGTATTATAGGAATTGTGACAACTTTTGATGTTAAATATGATGTTCTCATCTGTGCAACAGATTTGGAAGCATGTGTCTGGTTAGAGGAGAACCTCAAGAAGTTCGAACGTATTCTTGTGGTGGTGTCCCACTCACAGGATTTCTTGAATGGTGTGTGTACAAACATTATCCACATGCAGAGCAGAACATTGAAGTACTACACTGGTAACTACGATCAGTACGTTCAGACCCGTTCCGAGCTTGAAGAAAACCAGATGAAACAGTATAGATGGGAGCAGGAGCAGATTTCACACATGAAGGAATACATCGCCAGGTTTGGTCACGGTTCAGCCAAACTCGCTCGCCAAGCGCAGAGCAAGGAGAAAACTCTGGCAAAGATGGAGAGAGGTGGACTGACGGAAAAGGTGGCGAGGGATAAGGTTCTCGTCTTCCGTTTTGTTGATGTCGGGAAGCTTCCTCCACCCGTGCTTCAGTTTGTGGAAGTCTCGTTCGGGTACACCCCTGACAACCTCATTTACAAGAATCTCGACTTCGGTGTCGACCTGGACTCGAGGGTTGCATTGGTGGGGCCCAATGGTGCCGGGAAGAGCACCCTACTGAAGCTCATGACAGGTGAATTGACTCCGACAGACGGAATGGTAAGGCGTCACAACCATCTGAGGATCGCCCAATACCATCAGCACTTGGCAGAGAAGCTCGACTTGGAAATGTCAGCGCTGCAGTACATGATGAGGGAGTACCCGGGCACAGAAGAGGAGAGGATGAGGGGGGCGGTGGGGAAGTTTGGGCTGTCGGGAAAGGCACAGGTGATGCCGATGAAGAATCTGTCGGACGGGCAGAGGAGCCGAGTGATATTTGCGTGGCTGGCGGACAGGGAGCAC